TTAAGGAAGAATGAACCTCCCCTGCTATGTGTAAGGTGTTATCATGATTTGCATCATTCCTCACTATTGGACCAATAGTGTAATTATTTTTTCTTGTCAGTGCCATTTCACCAGTCAAAATTAACAGAATTGTTAACTGACAGTGAGTGATTAACGGTTGCAACTTAAATGAAAGTTAGGTGAACAGATTTTTATCATTTTTATTATGATATTCTCCCTGCCTTTTCATTAGCAGTCCTCACCAATCTGAACAGATTTTTTTTCTTTTTCATTTCCAATTATTATTATTTTGGCTGAATGGTTTTCAAGAAGAAGACAAAAATTGACTCCTTTTTTCTCTCAATTGACAAAACAGATGTCTTTGGTTTGGATTGATATCTTTCTTTAAGGTCTCTTACCTTATTTTCTTAACCTAAGTGAAAAGTGTTAGCATATGAGTCTGGCTTTTAATGTTAAGTTTTTATGTTCTTGTATTTTCAATTCATATGATAGTTTGATTCTGCAACAGATCCTCATAAACTATAAGTAGAGTCCATATAACAGAGACTAAAAATGCTGTGATTTTCCTTGCCATAGAGAGCTGATTTGCATGTAACAAGTACTGATTGTTTGGCATCGCATAGAGCAAATTGCTTATTTTTTTCTATTTATAAGCATCTTGTGTTGCATAGCTTGTGATTTGGTAGAGTTCTTTGCAGGAAGAGATAGAAAACAAAATAGAAGTTGCAGATGCCTTGGTAGTTATTTTCTTAATCATTTTCTTTTTCATTTGTTTCATTTTGAATATGTGTTATCTGTATCTATTTCAAATTCTTTTGCTTTGGGCTGCTCACCTAGGTTTTTACTAATTTGTTTTTGTTCTTAATATTTTACTTGGTCTTTGCCTAAAATTTTGTTACCATAATTGAGTTAAGCAAGATGGATTCCATGGAGCAACAAATATTTTGGGAGTTTGACTAAGAGGAAGAATATGTGTTTGTGAAGGACTTATTAGGAAAAATCATATGGTATATATAGATAATGGTGACTATTTCAAAGGATTGATACTATATATGAATGACTATTAATGATAGATTTGGCAATTAGGTTGCACTATTTTTATGAAATTTTTCTGTTCATTGTTTTGAAGATTGTAGAATGGGAATTTCATTATTTTCATTTTACATTATATTCTTTCTATTTTGTTCTTCAATCTTAGTTTTTTATTTAAATTTTTTATGAATTATTTTGATAAATTTGACTTATTTATTTTTTTTGTAATTTATGATTTTTTAATGTACAATTTATTTGATTTATTTATGAACTTATAT